GGCAGGGAGGGGCCCATCGTTGGGGGTCCCCGAGAGAGGGGCCTGCGGACAAGACCACCCTCCAGAAGTGGGGCTGGGCGGGGAGGCCAGCCCTCACATCGGGTCCCTTACCAAGGCCAAGAGGCGACACGCACAAAGTATCCATCGGCCGAGCCCAAGAGAGGGGGGGCTGTGGCCCGTCCGCTCCCCCAAAAGAAACCCCACTTACCCTTCGCAAAGACTCTGTGCCACACTGGAAAAAGGGAAGGGGGGGGAGAGAGAGAGAGAGATTGGGGCAGCGGGAAGTGGGGGAAGCCAAACACCCCCCCCCATGAACAACATGGAGCAAGGGACTCTCTCCGCCCCCCTGCCCGCCCACACCGGGTCAAGAGTCCTCCAGGAAGGCCTGGGGGAGACCCTCCCTTCCAGCAAGGAATGGCTAAGGAACACCCTGATGAATTGCAGGCGGCTTCGAAAGCCACCCAGGCAGGCAGGCAGGCAGGCAGGCAAGCAAGCACGGCCTTTCTGGCTGCTGTCAAGGAGAAACCTGACAGACAGACAGACAGACAGACACACACACACACATATATCTTGGCCCCTGGTGCTGCAATGGCTGATGGCATCAGGAGGGAGGCAGGCAAGTTCACCAAGGGCAGGGCGAGGACCACCCGGGGCCGCAAGAGAAGGCACCCCCAGCTTAGCCCCCAGGAGAGGGACGCAGAAGCCCGGAGGAGATCCCTCCCCTCCCCACCACCAGCCCGGCCGGCCAAGCCTCCAGCTCTGGAAGGCCAGGGGTGTTCTTTCTCGGCCCAAACTCTTGTTTCCTCCTCCACGCATACCTGAGCCTATCTTGATGAGTCCGTTGTGCTGAATGAAGATGGTGTCACTGGTCAGGTTCCCGTGGATGATGGGCGGGTCACAGGAGTGCAAGTAGCTGCCAGAGAAAAGCGTTCAGGGAGCCACGTGGCTGTTGATGGCCTCTGCAGGGAGGGAGGGGCAGCTGGGGGTGGGGGTTGCAGGGTGCAAGGACTTACCTGAGAGCAGACAGGATCTGCGTGCACCAGCGTTTCCAAGCCTGGGGGCACAGGGCCGGGGGCCGGGGGGGGGAAACAGAGCAAAGCAAGGCGTACAGTCAGTTCAGGACGCAAACGGTAGCTGCCCAAGGCCATTTCAAGGGCTGCAGGCACACCTGCACCCATAGAAACCATGGCGTGCGGCTGCTTCAGGAGTCACCAGCTGTGTGTCCCAGGCACCTGACACCCAGAAGCCCTAGAGGGAGCGGCCCTTCCAGCGCTGACCCACCAGACCAGCCGGACACATGCCGTGCTGCTTAAAGCAACCAAGCCCGAGGGAAGGGAGGCGAAAGCCAGGTCCTCAGCCCGGCTCCTCTCCAGCGGCCTGGGTCCCCTCCTGGCACAGCGCCTATGGTGGAAGCTTCCCCTGGGAGGGAGGGCAGTGGGGGGGGCAGGGACCCATGCCCTGGGCATGCACACACACACACACACACACACACACACACACAGATAAGACTCATCCTGCCCCAGGAGGGATGGGGCCCACCTACCCGGGCATTCATGGCCTTGTGGTTCTTCTTGGTCTTCTTGAGGAACTGCTTGAGGCTCCCCGAGGACACGTACTCCGTGATGAAAATCACCTGCAGGAGAGGACCAGCTGGAACAGCACAGCAGGAACGATCCAGAGGGCACCGCCTTTTCCGCAGCAGACCCTCTGGGGAAGCAGCCTCAAGGGAACAGGCCCTCCTGACCCACTCCTGCCCCTCAGGAGCAGGGGACCCCCCTGGCCAGCTGAGGTCCGGCAACCTCCTCGGAAAGAAGGGTGCCGCCCAGCCAGAGGAACTCAGAGCAGGAATGAGGAGCTGCTGGGTCGCCGCCAGGCGCTTGCGATTCCTCCCGAACCCCGAGTCAGGGGTTTCTGGGGGTCTCCCGGGGATCTTCTGCCTCCCACCATGGCCTGGCCAAATCCTGGCAGCTCTCGGGTGGATGGCAGTGGCCTTATGGAGCTACCTGGGACCACGGCAGGATCATCTCAGCGCCCACAAGCCAGTGAGAAGCCTAGCCAGAAAGGGAAGCCAACCTCCCCGGATGCCTCAGGGTGGTCTCCCCCGCTGTAGCCCAAGGCCCTTCCTGAAAATGGAGCCTCTGCCCCCCTCCCCCCAGGGGGCATCCATGCTCTCCCCCCCCCC